CTGACGTTTCGACAACTTTAGTGGTAGTTATCTTCAGAGTCAAGTGAGGAGTAAACGTCAGGTTTGCCATATTTGTTATCTGCTTGCAGACGTTTACTCCTCACTCGACTTTGAAGATGACAACCACTAAGGTTGTCGAAACATCAGTCAACATCAACACCAACAGCCCTTCTCAGCACTCTACTAACCTGTACAAACATGATAACGATACTCCCGAGCTCAAACAATTCACTTGAATATTTTGATAAATTATCGACTTGTTACTCACCTTTGGCAAAATAAAGTTTTCAATTGCTTTAAACGACGAACCGTTTTCTGTTGTACCAGGGTCTTGGAAAGAGAAATAAACAGATATAATTTCGCTCTGAAACGAGATAAAACAATTTAGATCAAATAACTTGTAAACGGTATTTATAAACTGCATGGTTTAACCTTAGTTGTTCTGTCGTAGAGTCGAACAGAAGAGTTTCTTTTTGAATTCAACGATGATAAAGAGATGCCAAGACGAGTCAAAATAATGGGACGGATGATCTGTATAAAAATAATTGTATTGTATTGCCAACCCAAATTTTTACTCCTGAAGCCAAACAGACACTTTATGCAACAGGTTTCAGACTTTGTTCAGAAGGTCCCAAAGTTCAATGCAACAGTGTCCGTTGAGCAGTTCTTAATGGCTACAAATAACTAACTAATACTCACATCAAAGTCCCATCCGATAGATCCACTGTGAAAATATCTCAAATTTTCTTCATTTGGTCGTTTGTAAGCAATTACTTCATTTTCGTAGTCTAAACATCAATATGACAAACATATAAACACGTTTGATCATGCACTCGTTCCAGCCTCTATGACGGTAAAATCTCCATGAGAGATAGCAACACATATTTCCATCAAGACTGTCTGATCTTCGCTACAAATACATACAGCAATGATAAATTCGCAGCAGTGGCTGATTAATAATTACGGAGCATGTAGGCTAAGGCAAAATTACGAGGCCTGGTGATATTTAATCCCTCCACTAAGCTCAGTCTCTTGACAACGTTTGCGTTCTTTACGTTCCTTTGCCTTTGCATTTCCTAGCTTGCGTTTGTAACACATAGTGTGAACGATACAAAAAATTAATAGTTCAAAATAAACTTTAAAAATTATCAAAACAGTCTGCAGAAATAGGAAATCCTCGTCAGTTCTTAGCCTCGCGCATTTAAACACTAGATGGTACGAAAGTCTTTTTCGTCGATATTCAATCGCACGTACGGTTTTCAACATCATAAATGGTCTAAAAACGGCACTTTTAGCAAGTTCAAGCAGCAAAAGTAAAACTAACAATGTCTTGGTTTACTTTTCGTAATGAGTAATCCGCAACTGATTAACTTTAAATATCACATGTATAGTAGGTTATGTTCGACGTTTGTAAATATGTGCCTCGTTAGTTTATCGCCTGCATCGAGATTCCAACGTCATATTGTTTTATATCGGCTTTTCCAGGCGCCAAACCTCACAACTATCAAATCAAAGTAAATTTTCAAACTTGGAGATTCGATTTTCTTTCTTTCGCATTTGTAAGGATCAATCCTGAACTCTGGAGGAACGTAACATGCATTATTTGAAACGATGAACTTCACCAACACTCTAAAACAACAATGGAATAGTAACCAACACTTTATTTTTCAGATTTAGTCATTGTACTTAGTTATATCACTGGTACAATTTTTTTTGCGACAGAAACGGTTGTTGGGAACTCTGGCCAAGAAAACCACAGCAAAGAAAGGGATATTTTAGGCAAGTGTACCGTGAACCGTTATTTCTTGTGAATATTCGAGTTTAGCCTCAATACAATGACGTTAGTCAACACAGTTAAATTTATCATATGACAAAGAATGCAGTTTGCATGAGTTGTTCTTGTGTAGAACAAAACTGATAAACGAAACTAAAGACCTTGCTGTTGGTATATTCAATAGGCCATCATAGAAACGCAAAACGCTACACTACTTAAAGAATGGCGGTCAGCTAAAAATGTCCAATTCGATTCTACGTAGATCTGACAATTGCTAAAACGTTACTCATATCGGTAATCAGATTAGTTTACCAAACATTTCACTGGTATTGAAGACATACGTTGTAAACGTTCTCTGGTATTGAAGAAATACGTTGTAAACGTTCTCTGGTATTGAAGAAATACGTTGTAAACGTTCTCTGGTATTGAAGAAATACGTTGTAAACGTTCTCTGGTATTGAAGAAATACGTTGTAAACGTTCTCTGGTATTGAAGAAATACGTTGTAAACGTTCTCTGGTATTGAAGAAATACGTTGTAAACGTTCTCTGGTATTGAAGAAATACGTTGTAAACGTTCTCTGGTATTGAAGAAATACGTTGTAAACGTTCTCTGGTATTGAAGAAATACGTTGTAAACGTTCTCTGGTATTGAAGAAATACGTTGTAAACGTTCTCTGGTATTGAAGAAATACGTTGTAAACGTTCTCTGGTATTGAAGAAATACGTTGTAAACGTTCTCTGGTATTGAAGAAATACGTAAACGTTCTCTGGTATTGAAGAAATACGTTGTAAACGTTCTCTGGTATTGAAGAAATACGTTGTAAACGTTCTCTGGTATTGAAATACGTTGTAAACGTTCTCTGGTATTGAAGAAATACGTTGTAAACGTTCTCTGGTATTGAAGAAATACGTTGTAAACGTTCTCTGGTATTGAAGAAATACGTTGTAAACGTTCTCTGGTATTGAAGAAATACGTTGTAAACGTTCTCTGGTATTGAAGAAATACGTTGTAAACGTTCTCTGGTATTGAAGAAATACGTTGTAAACGTTCTCTGGTATTGAAGAAATACGTTGTAAACGTTCTCTGGTATTGAAGAAATACGTTGTAAACGTTCTCTGGTATTGAAGAAATACGTTGTAAACGTTCTCTGGTATTGAAGAAATACGTTGTAAACGTTCTCTGGTATTGAAGAAATACGTTGTAAACGTTCTCTGGTATTGAAGAAATACGTTGTAAACGTTCTCTGGTATTGAAGAAATACGTTGTAAACGTTCTCTGGTATTGAAGACATACTTTGTAAACGTTCTCTGGTATTGAAAAATACGTTGTAAACGTTCTCTGATATTGAAGACATACGTTGTAAACGTTCTCTGGTATTGAAGAAATACGTTGTAAACGTTCTCTGGTATTGAAGAAATACTTTGTAAACGTTCTCTGGTATTGAAGAAATACGTTGTAAACGTTCTCTGGTATTGAAGAAATACTTTGTAAACGTTCTCTGGTATTGAAGAAATACTTTGTAAACGTTCTCTGGTATTGAAGAAATACGTTGTAAACGTTCTCTGGTATTGAAGAAATACGTTGTAAACGTTCTCTGGTATTAAAGAAATTCGTTGTAAACGCGACAGGCCAATTTGAAACACTGTTCTACACTTTACCTTCACAAATATTGTGTTTGCTGTAACGTTTCACACGCTAAGTAGCTCTAATTGAATACAAAAAACACTACAGCTACCCTCAAGAAAATTCAGTGTTTTCCCTGTGTTTACCTTTTATTTAGAGATGAATGTCGTCTTGCATAGCCAACCCATGATTCACGTAAACTTTGCCTCAAATCAAAGTTGCCGCGCGATGAAAGTATTCCAACGACCAAATCATAATGAGAATAATTCTCTGCTGTCAAGAACATTATTTTAAAACATTAAAGAAAACAAGTGGAAACACAAATACAAAATGGACTATGTAGGATAAAGTTTTTAGATAACATGGTTAAATAACACTAAATCGAAAGTAGTTCTCAATAAAGATCACTCTTGATGAAGACACTATACTGGAGTATATAAGGACTCAAGATTCAACATCAGATCACTCCTGATGAAGACACTAGACTGGAGTATATAAGGACTCAAGATTCAACATCAGATCACTCCAGATGAAGACATTAGTCTGGAGTATATAAGGACTCAAGATTCAACATCAGATCACTCCTGATGAAACACACTGGACTGGGAATATAGGGACTCAAGATTCAACATCAGATCACTCCTGATGAAAACATAAGACTGGAGTATATAAGGACTCAAGTTTCAACATCAGATCACTCTGAGTGATGACACTCAAGGGATATATAAGAACTCAAGTTTCAACATCAGATCACTCCTGATGAAGACACTAGACTGGAGTATATAAGGACTCAAGATTCAACATCAGATCACTCCTGATGAAACTCATAAGACTGGAGTATATAAGGACTCAAGATTCAACATCAGATCACTCCTGAGAGACACTAGACTGGAGTATATAAAGACTCAAGTTTCAACATCAGATCCTCCTGATGAAGACACTAGGCTAGAGTATATGTAAACTCATCTTTCAAAAACATATCGTTTATACTCAAGATATTAGATAGACGTACGACAATCTATAATGTCATATAAATCACGATAAAAAATCTGGTCCACGGAGTCGACATGCTATCAGTCAGGCAACAAACAAAGATGAGATAGCTGTACAAACCTGTATTATCGCAGCAAAGCTTCAAATCTTTAACAACAAGATGATTATGGATGTATAACACGAAAATAGCGATCAATATTAGTAAAGTTGGCTTAAGGATGTCATTTAATGTAAACATAAGTTGAAATTAAACAGTTACAATTAACTATAGCGTATAAATATCTTTCCCTATGTAAAATAATCTATACATTATCCTCAATAACGAACTATACACATTGTTGCATTTTAATATATACGAACTTTGACCTCAGGTGTGTTGCGGAAACGTCATGTAAGGAGTCTTAAAGCATCAATATAAATTAGCAAACTTTGTGATCTATGTTACTTATTGAACTTAAATTGAGCAATACAAAAATCTTAATCTTCAACAAAACATATCAAAATATTACTATGAATGTATAAAAGTATACAATCGCTAAAAGATCACGTTTGCACTTTTTCTTCACCAACTGAGCAAAGATTCTCTTTTCTTTGAACTGCTTGTCGACAACCATTGAAAGATTATTCAAAAACTCTTCTTAGGTTATCGTTTGCGCCTATTACGTAGGTTTGAGGGACAATATAAGTACATGCATGTACAACAAAGAACACGGGTGAAGGCTTTAATTCGTATTACTTACTTTCGAATACAGCGCATGTGCAAGGAATGGTAGTTTACGAAGAGTTCGACCACTTAGTTGATAACTTTTTCTAAACAAGAAAATGAGAGAAAGAATACTTCGTAGGTTTATCACAGTGAGACGCTTGACTGCTCCTTGCAAGTTCAAAGGAGAAGGGCCTCCCAAAGAAACCTAACCAAAAGTCAACCAATATTCGTGATTATTTGAGAGTGGTCCATTACTTGATAACTACTGACTACGATAACAAAGAAAAAACATCTTTACGCCTTAAATGTAGATGTAATACAAAGTTAAATTTTATTTATGTTGCAAGTATTAAGACGGTATATTTTAAACCTCAGTCCTAAATTATTTGAGAACTCATCTGAACATGCACAAACAACTCAACAAACTGTTCGAGTTTACAATCATGGCAATGACAAACAGAACAAGCTTGCATCCTTCTGTGGTTCACTTGGTCACATATTGGGAAATCATAAATTTCAATTATAATGAGAATTTAGTCATTTAACAAATTTTCATATTCATAGTGATGGCAACAACAAGCTGGACCTATTTTCATCACTTACTGAGTAATTAATCGCTTGGTCACAAAAATATAAGAAGATCATCTGAGCATGCGCAGTACAGCGGGCATGCGCAGCTCAAGCATGCAAAGTCCACTTGACCAATTGTCCGAGTTGATAGTCATGGAAACGACCAACTACATTTACTAGCATCAATTAGGGAGTATATAACTTGCTTATTAACAAACTATTAAAGATCTCAACTGAGCATGCGCAGTTAAATTGATTGGCTGCCAATGTTCATGGTCATGGCAACGACCAATTGCATCTACTAGCCCCGATTTTGAAGTAAATAGCATGTTTAGTAACAATTTAATGGAGAAATCATCTGCGCATGCGCTCGAGCATGCGCAGCCCTCGACTAATTGTTTATAGTCATGGCAACGACTAACTAGATGTACTTGCACTACATCTGGGGCAATTATCCCTTAATCGCAAATTATCAAAGAAATTATCTGGGCATGCGCAGTTGTGACTTTAATAATACCACAAATTTCGTAAGCCTCTAAATTTTTGTATATATAAATATAAATCTATAGCTTCATATAGTAGATGTCAACTAGCAGTGGAAGCTGGGTGCGATATAGTATGCAGTGGCTTAGGGTCCACACTTCGGTGGCGACCGCACTCTCCTGCGTACCCCGAGCAAAGCCTATCGCAGGTGATCTCGGGGTCTGATGGGCGGAAGCTTGCTATTGCATCTCCCAAGTAGGATAGCGTGGAGGGGCCGAAATCTGCTACCGAAACGTTAACATGCCGCGTTTTAGTGCCTTACGCTTAAGAAGGTATCGGGAAGCATGGACCGAAAACGGGGTTTTCCTTTCAAAATTTGTCTTTTTCTTTACAAGAATTCTTCTCATAAAAGAAACTAGAACATACTGCCAGGGTTCAGACAACTTCTGAAAATCCCCGGGCGTAGTTTCGTTTTCTTTGTAAAACGAAGAATACTAACTGAAAACATGAAGACTGGGTGACATAATATTTACCATAAACTAAGACAAGAAATGTTTATTTTACTCTGTGACATCACTTTACTTTAAAGTGAAAGGTTTGAACATGGGAGTATCGTTACATGTTTGTAGATGTAGATCGTCCAGGTTAGTAAAGTCCTGAAAAGAACTGTTGTTGTTGATGCTGACTCTAAAGATGACTACCGCTAAGGTTGTTAAGAAGTCAGTCAACATCAACATCAACAGTCCTTCGCAGGACACCACTAACCTCGACGATCTACATCTACAAACATCTACTCTCGGCTATCTTCTTTAATTCAAGACTACAGTGTGTTACATCGTTGTCGACAAAGCTACAATGGAAAATAGGGAAAAAAAGTTGTACATCGGAAAAGAAAACCATGTCATCAACATAGAAGTGAACAAAAATTTCTAACAAACACCGTCAATTTTCGTCAAAATAAAATTTCGTGTATTTTTCAGTTGTACCTTAAATCCAAAATTTGAGTGGCTGGTGATATGATACTGGTCTGTGATGAAACGGTGAACATTAATTTTGATTATTAAAAAATTATCTACAATGCAATCGTTTGCAATCAATTTCTATATAGCTGCACACCTCTCTATTTAAGCAAGATGTTTGTATAACTTGCACAAACGACTATATTGTGGTATGGAAATAAAGCAGTAGACGTAAAGGTACAAAGTACTGAGAAGGGGATATACTTCACGAGGCAAATTGTTGTTTTATATTGTATATGATGACAGGTTGCGGTAAGCCATTTCGGCGTTCCTTTTGGCCAGAAAACATAATTGACCGGCAGCCATTTCGTTGATCACGTGCACAAGAAGACATAAGTTACATACAAACAAATGGTAAATTTTGTAAATAGCTTTGGCTGATGGCGGACCAATATACTGTTTGATGTCGGCTCTGTGGGCGAACAAATAGCGAAGTTAGATGAGAAAGTGAATTAAAAAACTTTCGAGTCACAAACATATTTTCAACCTGTCCACGAACGCAACGTCTATGGCTCTAGTTATGTTCGATGTTGTCAATATAATTACATTAGGATGTCTGAAATAAGAAGAAAACAACATTGGGGAAGACTAGGTTTAGCAAATAAACGCATAAATGTAGTTCAAATCAAGACTTCTGTAAATACGTAATTGATAGATAATAAGTATTTGACTGAGCAAAGTTGTCATCAAGCAAGTTTGTTCATGTCATATAAATATTTTCGTGCTTTACTCCTGTAAAAGCGACAACATGTAGAGAAAGAAATAATACATAGTTCTAAAGATAGCAAATACCATAGTGAATGGTAAATGTAATATAATAAGGAAGATTGTTTTACTCTTGAACACAATACATAGAGACACATATATATAAGGATTTCCGGTTGTATTTCATAGTTGATACATCTTGACTTACAATTCACTGACTGACAACGTCAATCAAAACATGAACGACTTATTATATAGAATGTAAACGGTCCATATAAAACATCCGTTTCCCAAAAATTAATGCCATTTCCAACCACCCAATCTTCCTCCAGAATGAACAAACAGTAAGTTCTTATTAATTGTATTCATACAAATTCTATTAGTTTACATCGAAGTTTCGAATACTTGGCTATCATTTGAAAAATTGTTTTGATTTAGTCAAATTTTATATTACATACGTATGATCTTATTTTAATTACAAAAAATTTCTATGAGAATATCAAGTGTACGCTGCTTGAAATTTTGTGCAAGTTATTTCAAAATAGGTGGCAGAAGTCTCTTTTGGAATACTTGAATTTCTTTTGAAATTCTTCACTAAATTAGAGAGCGAGGGAACTCTCTAGTTTAGTTAGAATATTGTAAAAATCTTTTATGTGCATGTTTTGTGTTTTGTGCATGTTTATGATCATCTGCAAACACCGAAGAATGGAAGTCGAAAATTTTGTCTTCTCGAAACATGCCTTCTTTAAATTTTAATATCTTCTCAAAAATAAGTAATAAATATTGGTTTAACTTACTGCAAGAAGCGTTGCTTGACAATGACAGGTTACGGCAATGTGGTTCTGAAAGAAATTGAAGCAAAGAAGATTTGATGAACGATACAAACAAATACATGCTTACATCTCTGTTCTGCTATTCTTGATCTTATCGACCTCTGCATCTGAAAATACTGAGGAAAAAGTTGCAGTATGATGAAGCAAACAAGCAAACAACTGACAAACAAACACATACCGCAGTCTCAATCTTCATCGTTCAGTGCCATGAATAACTGTAAGAATAATGTTAAAATACAATCATGACGAACTGTAGGAGCATATAAATTTTCAAAAACCAGTGTTTGCAGACGATCTGTCGAAATTTCTATCAAAACTGGTACTTTACGATGATTTCAGAAAACAGCTGTAAACTGCAAACATTTACAGGAAAGGTTTACTTTTGGCACAAAAGTTACTGTCAGATTTTCAAACGAAGTCAATCATCTCCATTGAACATAATGGACAGACGAGCATTCATGACGAGCCCTCAAGTTGGATTCGAAAATTTGGAAACAGTTTCCTCTCCCGAGGAATTATCTTTATGATTGCAATAGTTCTATACAATCATACAAAATAGCTATTTTGGCTAAATCATTTACCAAACATTAGAACATCACCGGAAGTTAAATTTTTTATTGCTTTGTAGACACTGTTATAACATCCCTCAATATTATAACAGTGCAATCATAGGCACAAATAAACCATTAAATATTCAAAGTAGACGGCTAGTCTGACTGGCTCGTGATAATCATTTCGCATAGATGTTGAGTTTAAAGATTTTGCAATACTCTGCCAGCGTATTGCAATTTCTCTTCAACCATGATGATTGATTTAATGTAAATTAGATTTTGTTTTAATTTTACACAAGATATGAGCGCAAGAAGCACTCTTATATTAACATGCTCTAAAGCATGTTAACTGATTGTGCTAACATCTACAAAATTACTCCATGGTATATAGAAGCGCCAGTCAGTTGTTGCACAAGTACAACACATCTCTTTACTACCAAATCCCCCAGTTATTACCAAATCAAGCACGTGTCAGAACTAGGCAATAATCAAACATAAGCTAGCTCTCTGTTGGTCGGTCGAATTATTGATATGGACAATGAAGAAGGATGTTTTTGGGTCGAAGGATGATCTGTTTCTTCCGTTAGCAACATCTTGAAGTCAACTTTGTTGTCTAGAAATATAGAATACGAGAGAAATGAATTGATTTTTTCAGTATCGGAAATCATCGCACCATGAACTTATTATGTTCGTTAATAAATCACTAATCACTTTGGTTACTTCTTAGTACTTTAACATGGCTCTCTGATCAAATAATTTAGTATGTTCAGCATCATAAATTATTGTGACACCTAGCTCTTGCGTTCACTTCATTGCCATCTTTTCTTATTATCGTCAGTGATTCTTAACCGTGTACACTTTTAAATTATTTGTTTTAAAATTGAGTTTCTTAGCCTGTGGCTGTCATAGAAAAATGATTTTCTTCTTTTCAACTTCCAATGGCAAAGTTACACAACGAGAAGGTGCTTTTGGTGCTGTCTTTGGTCATACTAGTCTTACAGCACAAGCAAAAGTGATTATTAATTGTGAAACAAGACAGAATAAATGAAGGATTAGAATCAACATGAGCATAAACAAAACAATATTCAAAAGAATTTCCGTTTTCCTGGTCTTTTAGGTCTCATGAGAAAACAAAATTGAATGCATGGTACATACGAATAGAATAAGCATAAACGATAAAACTTTATTTCTTTTTCTCTTCAGAGTTTACACAGAAAGACATGGAAATCTTCTTTCGTTTTCTCTTGTTCTTTTTGTTCTTCTTTCAGCTAATGCCTAACACATTTCCTTAAGCCTGTGTAATGGTGTAACTTCGCTCTTGAGTGGGTGGGAGGAGCTTTAGGAATAAATTTGCCCATAAAAGCGTGGTGTTATTTTTATGTTGTTTCCTAAGCTGAAAGAAGTATAAAATATTGAAAAGAAGAATATGATTTTTGATGTTTTTCTGTAAACCCTCGAGAGAGTCATAAGCACGCTCGTTGCTTATGCTTGTGATTACGTAGACGTTAATGTTCCAACTTTTGCTTATTGTTTTCTTTAACACTTTATTGACACTTGACACAACATTCAAAAATAGATATATTCTATTCAAACAGTTCATGAAAAAAATTATTGCTTTGTTCAGACAGTTGGATTGGCTGGATTTGAACAGGACGTTCTATACGAGAAGGGATTACGTTGGTTTTATTCAGTTATTTTGGGGATGATTGACGTATTATCAGTGTACCGTATGTCAAGAAGCATCCTATGGTGATACAGGTGAGCCATCACCCCTCAGATTAAGCTCTAGGATATGTTTGCTACAATGACGGAATCGTTGTAACAAAGTCTTCTGTTCTTACTTCATATGCTTCATCTTGTTTTATACAGTTTTCCAAAATGACTCAACTGTAAATATTGTAAAACAAGCACGATTAAAAGCGTGTATATAAATTTGTAAAATTTAAGAATTGCCAAGAATTTGTCCAAACAATTAATTTTTGAAATTTCCAGAAATTTCCTTCAAATAGGCCATTCTTTTCTGAAATTTCCTTAGAAATAAGACCACATTTGACCATCGTTATCATGTTAACTACTTCATGTAAAAGTTATATATCGTCTTCCAAGAAAACAACATAACAATTTTTAATTTTTAAACCTCACAAGCATTCGTTCTCCGCAAGAATATTTCTCTCCACATATCTGTTGTAAAAGAGTGAAAGACAAATAATATTTTAAAGAACATATAAAGTTTTTTTTGAAAGCTGAAACAAGGTAATAGATATATATGTTATTGTTATGCCTGAGTCTGACTTTGAGTTTCATAGCGGGAAATTGAAACGATATTTATTTTTTATTTCTACATAGCAAAGATATTTAAGTTTTTTCCTACACAGCCAATATTGTGAATAATCTTTTGTATAACATCTCTAACTAAAGCAATATCGTTAAAATGGATAAAGTTCAAGAACTTTCTGAAGCACTGCCTTTACCAAGTCAGCCATTCTTAAACGTCGAAGTAAATGAATGCAAAGAAAGGTTAGTTCATAATATGAACAAAGGACTGTATGCAGAAGGATATTGAATTGCATTTCATGTAATAATCTAGTTGAGTGAGTCTGTGTTAGTGAAACCATGCTACAGGTGAAACTAGGTAATGAACAAATCATGTTTTGTTTTGTAAAGAAACTTGAATAATTTTAATATGTTACTAGATTGACGTCACTGGTCATATGTTGTGCTTCAACAGACTCACTTCTTCAAATACCACTGTGCTGTCAAAACGTGAACAAAACCATTTATTCAATTTGATAATAAGCATTAACATCTTAATAGTATTTACCACTTTATTTTAGCACTATCCCAGAGTATAGAATTATAAAGCTTGTCAAAGACTTTCTTATCAACATGAAAACAATTCATGGCGACTCATGTTTCGTAGAATTTGTTGATCCTTTTTAATGGAACATGTCAAGAGCATAACTATTGTGTATGACACAGATAATTTTTCAACATATGGCAAGGTTATTGACCCTATGATCAGACAATATTTACTTTCGCATGTGTGAGAGTAGGTTGTTCACACCCCCCTGGTATGTCACACATCCCTTTTTGTTGAACCCCACGGAAAAGAAAATGCAAGAACTCTTAGAGGATTGACTTAGTTTGATAATGAAGATTTACATGAAGTACATATTTCTGTCAAACCTTCATAATTCTTTTAACAGATAATTGATTTGAAAAAGTTATGCTAAAGTATCATGTCTATCAACTTCATGATGGGGGGCATGGATATGAAGAACTTGAGGATGATATATCTGCTCCAGACAACTGGCTTTTGCCTACAGGTGGGTAAATTTTGCCTGCAGGTGGTCAACTCACTTCAGTCCCAGGTCTTTTCGCTTTCACGAGTTATAAGTATTAGCAACTAATACAATTAATTCATCATTTTAGAGGATTTTCAGGGCTTGTGGGAAAGCTTGCTCTTTGACTCGGATGTGAAAAATCAGGTTGTTCTTCATAATGAACATTTAATGATTTCTCTCGTAAGCGAAGTTTAAATTGTAGCTTGTTAAGGACGTCTTTAGCGCCGAAATAAGTTAACGTTTAAACAGTTAGCTGTCAAAACGTCAAATAGATTTTTAAGGATTTTCCTAATTTCTCCTATTTTCCAATGTACATTATGTACTCGGGTTACTGATCAACGGAGTTACTGATCTGCTAACTTATTAATCTCTAATATTTTCAAAAGGTTTACGCAAGCGATGACATTGTGCACCGTAGTGGTGACAAAGCTTACTTAGTAAACATTAAAATACACATCTCAGCAATTCTAGCGAGTTATATCGATTAAAAATGTTAAAATTTTGTTGTTCTAATTTATTTACGAAAGTATATGTCGTGCCATGACTATGATATTTCATGTATCTCATTTTATCTTATTTTTTAGTTGCTAAAATATGCGGCAACGACACTTCTCTTCTCCGACAGGTTTGTCGTGTGAAATGAAACTATTGAACTGAAGACTTTTAGAAAGCCAAATTGCAAAATCATTCGTTTTCCATCTTTTAAAATCACTCCCAAACAATGACATTTTCAAAGTATATATTAGTCACGTGTTTGAATCATATTTTAGAGGCGTGGATTTCAACATCATCTCGTGAAATAAAGTTACCTTATTGCATGGTAAGTTAGTTTCCTTGGTAACCAGACGTGAGTCCTTGCGTCATCGTCCGTCACGTGTATCTTTTTGCGAATCAAATTAGATTCTATTTTTGCGTGTGTTGACTTTGTAACAACTCTCATCTTAACGGAGTAAATCTCTTATCACTCATAACATTCAAGATTGAAAAATCACATATCAAAGTATTGATAAGAATAAGTTAGCTACAATCATATAGAATGAAACGCGAGACGTGATGGTGTTTTAACGAGCCAACTATTAAATGACGTCAAGGCTACCATGTTTGTGTACCGCTGTGACGTCACTCGAAAACAAACAACGAAGCCAATCAAACAACAGCCACTCATAGTACATCATGTTTGTCTTCACGTGATCTACTGCAAATATCCAGAAGAATGAGTTGAGCTTTTCTTTAAAACTTTCACAGAGCCAACCGGTACTGGTGAAACATCCTTATGCAAGGCGCTTGCTCAAAAATTATCCATACGACTTTCTAAAAGGTAAAAACACTACATTTTATTTTGATGTTACGTAAATCGCAATCCATTACTATCCATGTGTGTAATGCAACTAATATTGCCACGTAATTTTATTGTTATGTCGTGAATTATAAATACAAAGTATAATCCGAAAAAGGTTATATCCGAAAAATGTTGTAAACTCAACATCAAATTTAGAAAACAAGACGATTAAAATGTAAATATTACACTTTCAATTGTTTTGCTTTGTAACTTTATTTAAGTTTACAAGATGTTCTTTGGCATTATCTTTTACTTTGTTTTAATGAAATTGTCGTCTACCTAAGGATTATGAACTATAAATTAAAGTGTGTTTCTACTTTTGAATCCTTAGATTTAACTATGGCCAGCTTATTGAAATAAACATTCACAGTTTATTTTCCGAGGTGAGCATCATTTTGAATAGCTCAAAGCAACATCACCGAGTGCGAAAATCCTCTGGAACCAAAATTACATTGCCATAAATTTTCCGTGAAACCTTTGTCGTCACCCCCTGTCAATATAAAATGCACGGCTCACATCAAAATATCAGTTCAGAAAACTGACATTTATATACCTGGGATTGAGATGTCGTTGAAGTTAATAAATCTAGTTCCGTATCACAAAATGATCATATCCAATTAAAAAGCATCTGTAATTTAAAATGTACATTGACATTATCTTTCCTTACAAACAGAGTGGAAAGTTAATGATGAAAATGTTTCAGAAAATTCAAGAGTTTATTGACGACAAATAAGCTTTAGTTTGCGTTCTTATCGACGAGGTAAACTTTGCTTAAACATTTCTTTCTTAATGCTCATGGTCAGATAGATGAGAAATCATTTACTATTTGTGTTTCTTGTTTCACAAAATACCCGAAGCACATGTACGCTTGTCGGTAATGTTTAAGGAAAATACCTTTGCTATCCATATCTTTTACTTCTGAAGGTTGAAAGTTTAACATCGGCAAGAAAATCTGCGTTGAACGGACAAGAACCTTCAGATGCCATTCGTGTTGTGAATGCATTTCTCCTCAAATTGACCATATAAAACTGTAAATGCAAAATATAAGCAGAATATGCATTTCGGCGAACATTGCGTTCTCATGGATTTTTTAGTGAACTAAGAGATTGTATTCGGTTATATGAACGGCGAGGCCAGCCGGCAGGGTTGTTGCGTTATGTATTATTTAATAAAATAGAGACTTTGTAGAAAATAGTTCTAAAGATAGCAAATACCATAGTAAATGGTAAAAGTAATATAATAAGTTGATAGTTCTTACAAGAACTGTTGTAAGTAAAGAGCACTAACCCAATAGTTCTAAATTAAACGACACGATGCATTTCGGCAGACTACTCCTCAGGTGTCAACGTCTGCTGAATGAAAATTTACAATCTACCGATATTTATAATGCCAAGACAACAGTCTTTATCAACTTATTATATTACATTTACCATTCACTATGGTATTTGCTATCTTTAGAACTATGTATTATTTCTTTCTCTACAATGTTGTAGCTTTTACAGGGAGTAAAAGCACGAAAATATTCGTATGACATGAACAAACTTGCTTGATGACAACTTTGCTCAGTCAAATACTTATTATCTATCAATTACGTATTTACAGAAGTCTTGATTTGAACTACATTTATGCGTTTATTTGCTAAACCTAGTCTTCCCCAATGTTGTTTTCTTCTTATTTCAGACATCCTAATGTAATTATATTGACAACATCGAACATAACTAGAGCCATAGACGTTGCGTTCGTGGACAGGTTGAAAAATATGTTTGTGACTCGAAAGTTTTTTAATTCACTTTCTCATCTAACTTCGCTATTTGTTCGCCCACAGAGCCGACATCAAACAGTATATTGGTCCGCCATCAGCCAAAGCTATTTACAAAATTTACCATTTGTTTGTATGTAACTTATGTCTTCTTGTGCACGTGATCAACGAAATGGCTGCCGGTCAATTATGTTTTCTGGCCAAAGGAACGCCGAAATGGCTTACCGCAACCTGTCATCATATACAATATAAAACAACAATTTGCCTCGTGAAGTATATCCCCTCTTCTCAGTACTTTGTACCTTTACGTCTACTGCTTTATTTCCATACCACAATATAGTCGTTTGTGCAAGTTATACAAACATCTTGCTTAAATAGAGAGGTGTGCAGCTATATAGAAATTGATTGCAAACGATTGCATTGTAGATAATTTTTTTAATAATCAAAATTAATGTTCACCGTTTCATCACAGACCAGTATCATATCACCAGCCACTCAAATTTTGGATTTAAGGTACAACTGAAAAAATACACGAAATTTTATTTTGACGAAAATTGACGGTGTTTGTTAGAAATTTTTTTGTTCACTTCTATGTTGATGACATGGTTTTCTTTTCCGATGTACAACTTTTTTTCCCTATTTTCCATTGTAGCTTTGTCGACAACGATGTAACACACTGTAGTCTTGAATTAAAGAAGATAGCCGAGTAAGTAGATGTTTGTAGATGTAGATCGTCGAGGTTAGTGGTGTCCTGCGAAGGACTGTTGATGTTGATGTTGACTGACTTCTTAACAACCTTAGCGGTAGTCATCTTTAGAGTCAGCATCAACAACAACAGTTCTTTTCAGGACTTTACTAACCTGGACGATCTACATCTACAAACATGTAACGATACTCCCATGTTCAAACCTTTCAAACCTTTCAAAGTAAAGTGATGTCACAGAGTAAAATAAACATTTCTTGTCTTAGTTTATGGTAAATATTATGTCACCCAGTCTTCATGTTTTCAAGTTAGTATTCTTCTCGTTTTACAAAGAAAACGAAACTACGCCAGGGGATTTTCAGAAGTTGTCTGAACCCTGGCAGTATGTTCTAGTTTCTTTTATGAGAAGAATTCTTGTAAGAAAAAGACAAATTTTGAAAGGAAAACCCCGTTTTCGGTCCATGCTTCCCGATACCTTCTTAAGCGTAAGGCACTAAAACGCGGCATGTTAACGTTTCGGTAGCAGATTTCGGCCCCTCCACGCTATCCTACTTGGGAGATGCAATAGCAAGCTTCCGCCCATCAGACCCCGAGATCACCTGCGATAGGCTTTGTTCGGGGTTAGGGTTAGGTGTTAAGGTTAGGGTTAGGGTTAGGGTTAGGGTTAGGGTTAGGGTTATGTTAAGGTTTGAACATGGGATACTTTTTATACATTCATAGAAATCTTTTGGATATGCTTTGTTGAAGATTAAGATTTTTTTATTGCTCAATTTAAGTCAATTTGGTAAGATAGATCACAAAGTTTGCTAATTTATATTGGTACTTTGAGACTCCTTACATGACGTTTCCCCAACACACGAGGTCAAATGCAGCAATGTGTATAGTTCGTTATTGAGGAAAATGTGTAGATTATTTTAAATAGGAAGGATATTTATACGATATAGTTAATTGCAACTGTTTAATTTCAACGTATGTTTACATTAAATTACATCCTTTACTAATATTGATCGCTATTTGTGATATCTATGGATAATGGACATGTATCTCATCTTTGGTTTCTGATAGCATGTCAGGGGACCTTTTTATCGAGATTTATATGACATTAGAGATTGTCGTACGAGTCTAATATCTTGAGCATGAACGATATGTTGTTGAAAGATAAGTTTACATATACTCTAGCGTAGTGTCTTCATCAGGAGTGATCGAATGTTGAAACTTGAGTCACAATATGCTCCAGTCTTATGATTTGTCAGGAGTGATCTTTTATTGAAAGTTTCGCTAATGTTATTTAACCATGTTATCTAAAACTTTATCCTCCATATGCATGTGAAACATGTTTTACAAATGCATGTGAAACTCGTCAACACTTTGTTACGGCATTCGTAATATCCGTGACAACGTTAAAAATTTTTTATTTTCTCTACAACTTTATACCTGCATATTGCATGTCATATACAAGCTTTCCTTTGATTTGACGGGAAATGGTTTTATTCACTCTTACATCTTCTGCCTTTATAATTAGTCGATCTGTATTTCTAAACTAATATTTACAAATGCCCCAAGAGAATCTTTTATTTTATTGGCTCTCTTCTACAAATACAATACCATGTCCGACTATTTGATTGCACGAATTTTTAATTTGATCACGTTTTTGACACGTGTGTTTACCATGGGAAAGATGGATTGCTTAAATGTACCTAGTTGTTTAGACTACTTGGATCCATAGTTATCCTGTAATGTATACTCTTGTGAAACACCAATGAGCATACGTAGTGTGTCTTCTATAACCTCTATTCTTGTTCTCCACTTCATCATCTATCCATATTTGTTCTTTTTTAGTTCTCAGCTCAACACAACCCTAGTCTGAAGTTCCTAAAACCTTCATCTACCCAAGAAAGATCTCTGGTGGTAACATGTTAGGTATGGCTAGTGGTTGGTCATCGTCATTGAGCCTTGTGACACCAGTTCAGTATACGTTAATTGTCCTGAAGACGTTGAGGAGGTTGCTAGTAAAGCGTCGCCTAAACCAGAAGTTAGTTTTCATGGTATGCTAACGGATTACGCAAACGTTGTTAGGAATAAGTTCACATAAAATGGTTATGGTCTCGTTCCATCGTATTCTGAGAAGGTTTCATGTTCATCCTGTATCTTTCACCAATGTTACAAATACTTAGTTTTTATGCTTTTGAAATTATCGTTTTTATGACTATTATTTTAGAGCATAGACATTGAAAAATCTTGTGGTAGTACAGATATTTTCAACATTTTTTTGTTGAAAAATTCTCTAGTTTCAATTCTTCGAAATTTCTCATCTTAATTTTCACCTTTACTTTAGAATCCTTTCGATACGAGAAATCGTCGGGATTTGAGGTACTTTATACGATATATATAATTTAAGTTTTGTAGCGTTAATAACTCCCATCTGTTCTTCGTAACTTTGCTATAATTCTATGGATAAATTATGTTTTTATATATAACAGATTATTGATGATCCTACTTCACCTGAAGGTGTTCAGCAAGAACGACGTATGAAGTTACTGTCGTTAATTAATAATATAGCCATTGATAAAGGGTTGGATGGTCTATATTATTAATGTCATGGTTGTTTCAGACCAATTGGAATGAGTATGATCAATGAATTCTCGACTTGTTATTTGCTAATAACTCAAATATATTTATTTTCAAATTTCTTAGCTTAATAAATGTTATCTTTGTAGAAACTATTATAACAAAGTACATAATCCCTTTTTTCCGTGAAGCCCATGGATGCGTTCGTTCATGATGAAAGAGTCATATTGTATAAGGAGGCTCTCGTTCATCACGTGAGAGTTATGAGAAAAATACGTTGTAAAAAGTACTAAGTAAAAAACATATAAACATGCTTAGTGTTTGTTTAAGTTATAGTTCAAAAGACAGAAGTTGTTTGAACCTTTGAAGTATCCTTGGACGCTCTAGTTTTTATGTGAAGAGTTCTTGTAAAGAAAGATAAATTTTGAAAACCAAAGAATCCGTTTTCGGTCCATGCCTCCCGATACCCCGAGATAGTTGATCACTAGAGCGTCGCATGTTAACTAAGGGAACCACATAATCCTTGTTTGTTTTCCATGAAACATATGAATGGTTTGCAATCAAAGAAATCATCTGGGCATGCGCAGCAACGATGACAATCATCCCAACACTTTCGTACGCCTTTAAATTTTGGTATATATATATAAAGCTAAAACTTCATATGGTAGATGTCAACTAGCAGTGGAAGCTTAGTGCGATATAGTATGCAGTGGCTTAGGCGCCCTCACTTCGGTGGCGACCGCACTCTCCCTGCGTACCCTGAGCAAAGCCTATCGCAGGTGATCTCAGGGTCTGATTTGCGGAAGCTTGCTATTGGCATTTCCCAAGTAGGATAGCGCGGAGGGGCCGAAATCTCCTACCGAAACGTTAACATGCGGCGTTCTAGTGCCTTGCGCTTAAGAAGGTATCGGGAAGCATGGACCGAAAACGGGGTTTTTTGCTTTCGAATTTTATCTTTTTGTTTTCTTCTCATAAAACAAACCAAGCAATGTTTCAATTAACTTCTTATGACCCTGTCTTTTTCTGACACTTATAATTAAAGACAACCTTAAACATGTTTTACAAGAATTTTATCGGTTTATATCTTTCTGATTTAACTCTCCCATTTACTGTTTCTCATGTATCACGAGCAACAAATTCATATGTTTCATGGAAAACAAACAAGGATTATGTGGTTCCCTTAGTTAACATGCGACGCTCTAGTGATCAACTATCTCGGGTATCAGGGAGGCATGGACCGAAAACGGGATTCTTTGGTTTTCAAAATTTGTCTTTCTTTACAAGAACTCTTCACATAAAAAAAACTAGAGCGTCCAAGGATACTTCAAAGCTTCAAACAACTTCTGCCTTTTGAACTATAACTTAAACAAACTAAGCATGTTTATATGTTTTTACTTAGTACTTTTACAACGTATTTTTCTCATAACTCTCACGTGATGAACGAGAGCCTCCTATACAATATGACTCTTTCATCATGAACGAACGCATCCATGGGCTTCACGGAAAAGGGATTATGTACTTTGTTATAATAGTTTCTACAAAGATAACATTTATTATGCTAAGAAATTTGAAAATAAATATATTTGAGTTATTAGCAAATAACAAGTCGAGAATTCATTGATCATACTCATTCCAATTGGTCTGAAACAACCATGACATTAATAATTTCGACCATCCAACCCTTCAAGGGCTATATTATTAATTGACGACAGAAACTTCATACGTCGTTCTTGCTGAACAACTTCAGGTGAAGTAGGATCATCAATAATCTGTTATATATAAACATAATTTATCCATAGAATTATAGCAAAGTTACGATGGACAGATGAGAGTTATTAACGCTATAAAACTTAAATTCAATATATCGTATTAAGTACCTCAAATCCCGACGATTTCGTATCGAAAGGATTCTAAAGAAAAGGTGAAAATTAAGATGAGAAATTTCGAAGAATTGAAACTAGAGAATTTTTCAACAAAAATGTTGAAAATACCTGTACTACCACAAGATTTTCAATATCTATGCTCTAAAATAATAGTCATAAAACGACAATTTCAAAAGCATAAAAACTAAGTATTTGTAACATTGGTGAAGATACAGGATGAACATGAAACCTTCTCAGAATACGATGGAACGAGACCATAACCATTTTATGTGAACTTATTCCTAACAACGTTTGCGTAATCCGTTAGCATACCATGAAAACTAACTTCTGGTTTAGGCGACGCTTTACTAGCAACCTCCTCAACGTCTTCAGGACAATTAACGTATACTGAACTGGAGTC